CTTTTTGGTATGTTTTATTTTTTTGCTTTTGTTTTTATGTTTATAATTTTTCTACCAATTACGAATGTAGACTGTTTTATTTTTTTTTTGTATTTTGCATTTTTTTTTTGTTTTTAATTTTATATTTTTAACGACTTACAAATTTATGCTTTGCTTTTTGATTTTCATTTCTTGTTATTTTGTTTGTGTTTTTTTTAATATTTTTATTTTTTACCAATAACGAATCAGGCTTCACTTCTTTATTTCTTTTTGTATTTTCAATTTTTTTGTTTATTTTTATTTTTAATTTTTTTACCAATTACGAATTTAGAATTCTCTTTTGAATATTTTTTTGTATTCTATTTGTTTTTGTTTTTCCTTATTTGTTTTTATTTTTTTATTTTTTAAGTGTTGCTATATGCCAAAAATTCTGACGGCGTCAAATCAAATCAAATCAAATACTTCATTGTACTTCATTGGAAGAAATTCTCAACATAATTGTAGTAGGAAGCTTAAAAGTTGCGGAATTCGTGGCACTTTTTTAGAAAAAAAATTTCAGCAAAATCGATCTTCGGAAATCTAAAATATTGAATACTAAAAAATTGGAGATTTTATAGAAATACGCTTTTGAAAATATTTTCTATATTATATTCCAAAGGTGCTTTCGAACTGAAAAATGGTCTAAAAATTACCCATTTTTCGCAAAGTTATGGATAGTTAAAAAAAAAATTGTTCTTAAATCAAGGAGCCCTCTCATTTCATACTATAAAAAAAAATTACGAAAAAAATCGAATATGCAAAAAGCCAAATGGTATTTGATTCGGGCTGGAAAGTCTCAAGTGTGTACATTAGGGTGGTTCCATAATGTACGAAGCAAATTTTTACATCGCACAGGGGTCAAAGTTCAGATTACCCTATGAAGACGTCTTAACCGAATCCAATTGGGACCAAAATTTATATGTGATATCTGTGACCGTGGTATTACCGATTGAGGGGGTGAGACTGAAAAGGGTCGTTCATTTGATTTTTAAGTACCACCCCAATGCACATATATGTATGTATGTATGTGTGTGTACGAGTATTGTGACACCCTTCATTACAAAAACGCACCGCATAAAATGAATGCAATTAAAATACTTTTCTGCATACTTACGCAGGTATGCAAATTATTTAAATACATACATACATATCTAATTGTCTCTACTTTTAAATGCATACAAGTTTACTTTACATATTTTTTCCGAGGAACTACTGAACGAATGTTGAAGGCATCCGTACATACACTCATACAAGAACACACATTTGCACATTTGTGTATATTCAAGCAAAAGTGCAAACAAGCACATATATTCCGCAATCACTTGCACTTTCAGCCTTCACTATGCCTATGAAGAAGTACTAACTGCAGGGTAGTACAAACAAACAAACAAACAAAAACTGTTGATGCTGTTTTTATTCCTACATATTTACATTTGGCGTCAAGCTCCAGAGGCTATACGACACGTTGTTGTAGCTTTTGGTATCCAAGTTGATTTTGCCTGTTCTTGCTTTTATTTATTTATGTATGTAGGACGTTTTTTTGCTGCTGCTGCCTGCTGCCTGCTGCCGCTTCAGAAAGTTGAAGTTGTCTACCTTTGTAATGTTTTTTCAAGCGAATGTTAAAATCTTGTCGTAAGAAATAAAAAAAACAACAAAAAATTTATAACGAAATATTTATTGCATAGGGAAAAAGACTGGTTGGTTGGTTGGTATGTTGGCTGTATGACAGTCAGAAATAAAAAGCCATAAATATCAATACGATTACGATTACGTGCGCGCAAAGTCGAATGGCGTTGTGGCGGAATGTACATATATATGTACATAGTACCAAAGCATTAACACACCAAAAACCCATACACACACAAACACACGCAGATTACCTACCCTCCATATGCCTGGGCGCAGGCAATCAGCCACTCAGCAAACAGCTTACAGCTTACAATGCAATCCAATCGTTGGTTTGTCTGTCATCTGCCCTCGCTGCGGTCCGCCGATTCTACTGCGCTCGATTACACTGCACTGTGCGGCGCTGCGCTGCCCCATTTTCCTGCCAATATTCCATAATAACCAGTGTGCGATAACAACCGTAAACGGCGCAAGACTCTTGCTTGCCTTTGGTTGGTGTGCAGCAGTAGCCGATGTCAGGCAGGTACACATAAGTAGCCGCCGCTAAGCGAGCAAAAGAGCTTTAAACCCGTAAAAACAACTGCACATTGAAATGGGTTAATTTCGATATTTTTTTTTTTTATAAGCTTTTTTTTCTTTTAGTATTTCTTTTTATTTTTGTTATAGTACACCGGTTATTTCTTAGGGAGCGAAAGGGTGGCTGTGGAGTCCGAGCTGCTGCTGCTGCCACATTACAAGAGTCCGCCGCATGGCAGCGGCAATCGTTGGCAACCAAGCGTTGAACCGGTTTTGTTGCGGCTGCTGTGGTAATGGTCGCGCGGGCGTGTTTGGCGACGGCAGCCATATAGCGCTGGATTGAAAATAGATTGCTATTGCCTGTTTGTGCCGTGCCGTCTTGGGCCCGTAATAGTGAAGAAGTGAGGAATATTTAGTAGCGCATTTGAAACAAGTTCCCGGCATGTTTTGTTCACTTCACTTTTTAACGTACTTTCGCTGCGGTTTTGCTCGCATACACAAGCAAATCTTAGATACTAGATGCTTATTGATCTATACATTGACTACGATTTACATCTCAAGCAAAAGTAAATATAAAAAAAAAAAATTTGGAAAAAATAACTAGCGCTCTGCTGACTTGGCCCGAACTGCTTAAGCATCTTGGCAGTTTGCCTTGAGCTTTGTTGCTTTGTTGCCATCTACATACATATGTCTCTTGGCATTTCAATGTGCAACAACAATAACAGCAAAAATGCAGCACAAAGGCAAGTGAAAAAATGCAAACAATAACAAAAACAAAGCGAAAAAATCCCAAGCGCAAAGTAGACAGATTTGCAATATATTGATATGTGCATGCGATAGCCACACACATGCGCACACACACCACATACCCGTGTTTCTTTATTTCTTCAGACTTGCTTCAATGCATTGTCGCTGCTACATAGCTTGATTGCATATCGCATCAGCCAAGCGTTCGACCTCAGCGATTCGCATCGGATCACTTTAACTATTGGCGCATTGTTCGATGTGCATGATTATTTCGTCCGTCCATGATATATATGTAGTATGTGCTTGTGTTTTTTTGGGGCTTGGTAAAGCATCTGTCGCTCATTGAACTATGCAGTGCATGATGTGGAAAAGCATGACTTTGCACTCGCAGGTATAAGTGTATGCGTGTATGTACCATCATGTAACTGTATCACGGCATATTTGCGCATGCGCACAGTACCGTTGCTGGCACTTACCGACAGGTACTAGTATGTACATTAGGGCAGGTTGATTTTTTTTTTTTTTAAATCGTATAGCAAAAACGTAAACTACATAAAATTCTCCGAAGAAACCATGTATCTAAAATAAAATCCTAATCCGCGCCTCTCGACTTGAAAATTTATATGGCCGCCTTTGCCAAAAAAAATAAATGTTAGAAAAAATAGAAATCGAATTTTCTGAATAAAATTGTTTAGTAAGGTAGTTCTATTTTTTTGAATTATTCTTTGTTTTATGCAAAACGCAGTTTAGGTGAAACGTGTTCGAACTATTTTTTATATAGAACGCAAATCAGAGGAGATGCAAATTGGGGTTCAACTGCTTTTTTGATAATTGAATATTTTGATTAGTCTCAAAATAAAACCTGTATTGCATAAACTATAATATAATATAATAAAACATAATATATTTCAAAAAAATAAAATAATTTCAGCGAAAAAAGAGGAAAAAAATTTTCAAGTCGAGAGGCGCAGATTAAGGTTTGATTTTAGACCCATGGTTTCTTCAGAGAATTTTCCTAGAATGTAATGTAGATTACGTTTTTGCTATACGATTTTTAATTTTTTTTCATCCATGCAAATCAACCCGCCCTAATGTACATACTCCCCTTAGTTGTAGCAGTGCTGGTAGATGGCGAGTAAGAAAATGTCTTATTTACTTAGGTTCAACTGTTCCCTATTGCATTGACTGGAAGCAAGTCAAGTAGGACATCGATTTTAAAGTTCCACTAGCTAACGACATTTAGAAATCATCCAAAATGCTTCTTAACCCTGACGGTCCTCGGCCCAAGATGTTTTTAGCCTCCCATATAAAGCTTAAAGATTCCTGGTAGGCGAATTCATAACCTCAAGGGTGGAAGAACTGAAACAATGCAGTCTTAGTTTGGCTAATTCTGGACAATCACACGGTAATCCATCTCTGTGGAAAGACCAGTCCAGTGAATGTGAGAGCGCAGGTGATTATAGCCCGTTGGGTAGCCAATTAGCAACTTGATGTTGGCTCTGTTCAAGAGATTTTAATCTTTCCCGGCAAAAAGATAAGCAAAAGTCTGGCCTGTCTAACGCCCCCTACCTTTCCCCAGTACTTACTAAGTTCTGAGTTTGCCCACGCTTCGATTATGAGCCTCGATGAGAAACTACTGAGACCAAACAAACTGGTTATGGCCCTACAAGTAGGATCCCGCGTTCAGTCTGGCATAAATTGCGATTGCTAGTACTTCGGCTTGAAGGACCCACCGGTACCAGTTGCAATAAAAATCTTGATGCCAAGTCCGCTCCTGCTGCTCCGATTTAGATGAAATTTTCATTAGTTTGTTAATATTCCATATAAAAAAAAAACCAACAGCAAATACAACTGCCACAAATAAGAAAAGATAGCAGAGAGAAGGTCCACATATAAAAAAAGACAACAACAAATAGAAGCAGAGAGTTGCCACCTGCTTGAAAAGTTTCGGTTAATTAAATTTGTAAAAAAAATTTATTACAATTTGGATATCGAATAAATGAGGTTTAAGAATGCTTAATGGAAAATATTTTGGAAACGGGTTGCCTTATTTTAATAACTTTAATTCGATTAAATAACATATTACAATACGGTTATAAACCGAGAGATGCTTAAGAAAGCTTGATTTCAAAAAAAAATTTGAAGAGCGTTGTAATCTCTTTGATAAATGAAGTATTTAATAAGTTAGTCAAAGTAAGGTGGTTTCAGAAAGCTTAGTTTGGAAAATGTTTTTAAAGAGGATTGCCCCCTGATTGAAAAATTGTATTCAATTAAATTAGTAAGATAAATGAAATATTACAGTTTTAGCATCAAGCGAAGTTATTTAGGAAATCTTTGTTTTAAAAAGGGTTTCATTAGCGTTATCACCAATCTAAAAAGTTAAGACCAAAACGAAAGGTATTTGAAAAACCTTTGGTGGAAATTACAAAAATTTACACATTCTTAGATACGGATATTTATAAAAAGGGTTGCCACTGATATTAATTTTTATACTGAGGGTTTGAGTAGTAGAATTGAAATAAAAATTTTGAAATATTTACGAAACGAAAAATATTGAAAAAAAGCTACACACACAAACGTAAGAAACAACTAATAAAAACTTTAAAAATATTAAAATATCAGGTGAAAGGTTTTTAAGAATTTCTCAATTCTTTGGTTCTGTAATATTTTATAATTTTCGTTACAAGGCCAGGGAAAAGATATGCTAATATCGGTCGGCGAAGTTAATAAAATGAGCGACGAGCTACGTTAGATGAACCCACACTGCTTGCCGGCAAGCGATCGAAAATGATAAAAGTCGTACTGGTATGTCCAAATTACATTCGAAAGCGACTGAAAATGGACAAAAAGTGGATAGATGTACACTTAAAAAAACCATATACATATGTACATATGTACATTCACCTCTGATGTTCATACAAACTTAACTGTTATTTATAGATTTTAAATTTTTGATCAAAAGTTATCGTTATTTTGCGTTTTAAAAAAAGGAGGAGGTTATCAGTTCGTCAGAATATTTATTTATTTATTTTTCTTAACGGAAATGTGGTATCTAAAGGGAAGTTCCATAATAATTTAGTTTACTTTCTGAGCATATGAACGATACTTGGCTATATGAAGCTATTGGAAACGGGGAGGATTCCACATTAATTTGGTTTAGTTCCGACGATTGAATCATGGGCATGATAAGGGAACAGAACGAATTACATACTGTTTTTTTATTATGTGAGCATTGAAGTCGGTTTTTTTTTGCCTAAAAATTACTTGTTTTCTATTATACATTTATCTTTTTAAATTTTTATGATATTACAAAACTAAATCTGAAAATAACGATTATGTTATGACCGAAAGAATTAAAATTTAAATTTAATGGGTATTTTCGATCGAAATATAATACAATAACGGTTAAATTTGATCGGCAATTTGTAAATCCAATTTTAACAGTTAAATTATGATTTCTTATAAAGAACATAACCGTTTCGGTACCTATAAAATCAAGCGTTTTAAGCATAACTCAAACCCATCGTTTTTGACCTAATTTCAACGAACGATTTGCCAACGGTTAGCACAGACCTAAAGAGTGCGATTATTCCAAAAAAACCGATTTTCGAGTTACTCGAAAAATTGCAATTTGAAAAAACCCGGTTCCCTACTTTGACCTTAAGAAAAAACCGTATAAACCGGTTTTCTTTTACATAGTTTTCATACAGTGTTGGTATGAAGCCAAGGCCAAAAATTACAACAAAACTATTAACAGTAAATATAGCTTTTATTTAGAAAAGAGCAAAGCAAAATAAGTTCAGAGTTTCTATTTTAGATCAAAAGTAAAAAAAAAAAATTAAAAATCAGTGGAAAATTCAGGTTTAGTTATATTTCAACATTAAATTATTGGATTTTTTTTTTACTTTTTCGGATTTGAATATGTGGTTTATTATATTCTCTTTCTCTGTGACTACCGCAAAATAAATACGTGAATTTCGAAGTTCTTAACACATCTGTGAGTACGAATTTCCAACCACCCATTATCAACATCTTTCTGATGTCCAAGAAAGCTTTTTGGTACGCTTATAGATTTGTGCTTTGCTTAGGTTAGTCAAGGAGTTTGGAAATAAAAGTAAACAAAATTACATTTTTTATATAAAACATACCACCTGAGCTTTCTGACCAAATGGCAATATTGTCAAGAATCTTCGAAAAAAAATTTTTTGGGATTGCATCAAGCAGTTGTTTTTTTTTTTTAGAAAATCAGCACGGCGAACAGTGGTATTTCGGCGGAAAATATAAAATTTTTTGAATATTAAAGTTTTACATTTGAATGGTTCAGCCTAAGAAGGTGATATTTTAATAAGGAAAACTTTTTATAACTTTGTACGAAATTGGCAGTTTTATACAAAATAAGAGCAACAAAAGTGAGAAAAATCTTATTCAACTAAAATTGATAGAGATTTTTTTTCACTTAGGCATGTGTTTTTCATGGAACTTTTGTTTTTATTGTTTTTTTTTGTTTTTGTAGATTCATATGAAAATGTAGTACTAGTACTAGAAAAAAATAGAGAAAAAATCAGGGCAATCAACCAAATATTTTAATAAATATAAGCAGACAAAAATGACACTTTATAAATGCTAACTTTGACACTTTTGATGGACGAAAACTATATTTTTTTCGTTTCCTTCGCCTTCTTGTGATAAAAAAATTAAAGACCGGAATGTTTTCTATCGACTTCTGAAAAACAAATTATGGGTGGTATGCTTTGAAATAAACCGATTACGCCAAATTTTTGAGGGTTCACATATAATGTTATTACAAACATATGAACAAAATATCGGAGTCATATATTCATTCATGTGCTTTTAAGGGCATGTTAAGACATTTTTGAGGTTAGGTTTGTATGGGAAGTATGCTTTAAAACAAATCGATTACGTGTATTTTTTTGGAGTTCATATAAAACGTTATTAAAAATATATGGATAAAATTTCGGACTCATATATTCATCGGTGCACTTTTTATGGCATTTGGAAAAGTTTTTGAGGTTAGGTTTATATGGGTGGTATGCTTTGAAATAAATCTATCACGCCAATTTTTCGTTTTTTCTTGATTTATGTGCATAAATGTTACATACGGGAAATTAAGGTTCTACCTCGATTCCTTCAAATTTTTTCCAAAAAATGTATGGGGCTGTATCACTGTGTGGCGTCGGCATAAATGAAATGTTGAGGCTCGTGTTGTTGTTTTTTTTTTTTTGTAAAAAACGCTGTAATGTAAAGGTTTATCCTATCTGAGTATATTCTATTAACTAGAAAGCTTTTCACGAAGTCGCAGGTTTTCTTTCCCTTCTATTTGCAAGCTCAATGGAGTATATGGGTTACAAAAAGTAAACAAATTCATGCTTACATATGTATGTATGTGCAAGTATATATTAGAATTGTATTGCCATATGTGTATACATATATGTATTTGTATTTGTGCATAATAAAACGATTATATAATGAGTCTGATGATTTGTTATTCCCAACGGTAGTCGTGGCTAACCACTCGCTCTTTAGCAAAGAAAATCAATTACCACATAATCCACTTGTCCAGTCTCAAACTTTCAAGGTTATACGAGTATGTAGCATATTATAATTAACTAAAAAACATTTTATGTATCCAGTTTCCTACCTGGAATCTCTTGAGCACCTTCACTTTCTGATGCTAAATACTGTCGTACACACCCATACATACATACATATGCACGTACATACATATGTATGTATAATGAGCTAATAACCAGTCATGCGACAGCGAACAACATTCCTCTGCAACACTTGCCAATAATAATTTCAGTTTTATGTGCAAGACTACACTGTACATACATATGTAAATATTATGAGAGCATAACCGGTTAACTCATCATGTTGCGCTTACTTTGCCGCCACCATTACTTCAACTAATTTATACATATGTCCTTCTACACGATTATGCAAAATTTACGTAAACATTTTTTTATGCTGTCTGTCAACTGAAATATTTAATTACAACCATTTCCCTTGTCCTTGCAGCCAATTGATATGCTGTCTGGCGTTGCTGGCCAAGGCGCAAAACTCCATCGAACAACTGGCGGTCGAGCGGTCGGGTGAATTGCATTTTGAGACTTCACACAAACGTCCCGATGGAAAAGAATTCCAAACATCACACAAAATTCCCAGACATTCTTTCTTACCAGATTCTGATCTGGGTGCAATGAATTTGCTGCCGACAAAAGAACGCCCAGAATTAAATCCCGTTTTGAGTGCGCTCATCAATGAGGATGTCATGAAGAGTATCGAGGCTAAACGTGCCATTGAAAAGGAGGAGCTCGAGCAAGTTAAGGCTGAGATAGATGCCGCACGCAAGCAGGAGGAGGAACGAAGAGCAGCCGAAAGCGCCATCGATGCCACTTATGTTATGTTGACCACAGCTGCGCCTGCTACAAACGATGACCTCGATGAAGAAATAAATGTTGGTTTCGTCGATCAGGCCATTAACTTGGATGCTGCCGGTTCGGAAAATAGCAAAAAATCGCGCATCGAAATTAAGAAGGGACCAAATGGTCAGGACTATGAATACGAATATGTGTACTATTACGAAGACGAGGAGGACGCCAAGCCGTCGGAATCGCCGGCTAAGGCTGAATCAACTGAACGCGGCAAGTCGCGTTACAGCAATATCGAACGCACCACAGCGGCGCCAACTGGCAATAGTCTCGTGAGCAACAAGGCAAAGGGTCGCTCATCAAGCATAGCCGACAACGCCGGCGACGACGTCGAAGTCGAACGGCTGCCTGCCAATACACGTTTCCCCAGCCGCGGCAAGAACGTTGATGCACAACCGACGCCCGCCTTAGATTCGCTTGAGAACGCAGCGGAGAGGAAGAAAATCAGCGTCAAGCGACCAAGCTTGGAACTGGTTGACAGCGCAACCTTCAACACGGACGAAAAGCAAGTGAAGGGCATTCGAAACAGTGACACCGAAACCAAATCGGCAATCGCCATTGAACAAGAACAAGCAGCCGCCGCAGCAGCACAGGCAGCTGAGAAGAAAGAGGCCGAGGAAAAGCAGCGACGTCAGCCGACTATCGGTAGCGCTGAGGAAAGTGCGACTGGCAAGGATGTGGCGGACGAGGATGTTGAGCAAACAACTTTATCAATGGAGAAGGCCGCTTTAGACTTGTACGCGATTTTAGCGAATGAAAACTTTAACATAGACATGACCACGGATGCGGATACGGAGGTAACGACGGTGCTGCCAGACTCCACAAACCCCGACGAAGCGGCAATGACCACTTTGGTCGACGAAGAGCCCAGCTCAACTACAACTACCACAACAACAACTACCACAGAGGCGACTACCACAACAACCACCACCACTACAACTACACCGGCACCAACGCTGTTTGGCGGCAAACGTGCCGGCTTGAATTCATCCGGACGTAATCGCTTTAAGTTGAACAAGGGTGGCAAAAGCGAAGCAACTACGACGACAACTACAGAAGCGCCATCGGAGCCACCTAAAACTGGCAAGAGTAAGTAGTGGGGCACTGTGTGGGGGTAAAAAATTTCGAACCTACATTAATAATATTCCATTCACAGATCGCTTCTCTCGTCCATCGATTGGCGGACGCGCGCGTCCAGGCGCACGCACCACAACTGCAGCGCCCGCGCCAGCGGAAGAGGAAGGGGAAGTAGCTGCGCCGAAAGAAGTTAAGCCCGTGAGCTCAGGTTTCGGACGTGGCAGGCGTAAGTACAGCTCGCCTGGCGATGCCATAAATTTTACTAATAATTTCAACATTTTTGCACAGCACGCAATCGCTTCAACATACGCAGCACAACAACTACAGAAAAACCCGCTAGCGCCGATGGTGAGGAGAGCAACGAAGAAGCTGTATCCAGCACGACAGCGCGTTCACTGCGCGGTGGACGCCCAACATTGGGGCTGCGCGGTCGCAGTCGCACCACAACCGTCAGACCCGCCGCCGCCGATGAAGAACACAAAGATGAGGAGGCTGCCGCGAGTGCTGCCGAAGAAAAGCCCGCGCCAGTTAAGCCAGCATCACGCTTTGCGCGTCCAGGTGCCAATCGGCTGTTGCCACGTGGTAAGCTCGCGCGTACCACTGAAGCGCCAGCAGCTGATGATTCGGCAGCGGATAGCAG